AATTAACCATAGAAGGTTGCTAATGATGAAGCCTGAGATGAATGATGAGCTAATGATGGGTTCTGAGATCATCTACTATCTTGTGAAAAGATCTTTGTCAGAGTGGTGCTGTAATTTCCTTTGCTACCCAGTTAAACCTCTGTCTCCTCCAAGGAGTCATTCAGTCCCTCTCTGTGCTCTGAGACAAATGGATAATCTGCACTGTGGAAATGCTGGTGTCTGTTTTGGGCATCTTGATATCCTCAATTGAAGAGGATAAAGATCCCAGTGTTTAAGTTAAATTGAGTGTAATTTTTGGTATGAAAACTTCATCTCTGTGAAGCGCAGTAAGTTGAGCATGGCTGTGTGTGAGCTGGTGAAAGCTGGGTGTGCAGTAAATATCACCGGATTTGATGTGACTGGCAGCATTTCATTATGAAATTTCTTGAACCTTTTGGTGACAAAAGCTGAACTGGTTTGTTCTGTAGGTAAGACCAAGTAGATCTATGTAGAGACTAGCTTAGGTAAGATGCCAGGCTTGTGGCAGGAGTGGATTAGATGCTGCCAGCTCTTAAGTGTTTAATATTTATGCAAAGTACATAAGTGGGTGTTGTAATAGGAGAAAAAAAAAAAAAGGGTTAAAGAAACTATGCATAGAAATTCTAAGAGAGTGGAGAATTGCAGCTCTTTGGTAGCTGCTGTTCTTGACCCCATCAAACTGTTTACTGATCGCTCGTGCAGAGGGTTCTGAGTGTTGAGAAATCCTTCCTGTTGAGATGCACTGCGCTGTGCTGGCAGGGCTGCCAGTGTGGGGATGCCACGTTAGTGGGCAGCTGCAGGACCCAGCTTGCACAATGCTGTGCTTGTGGAGCTGTTGTTTGACCTGCTCCCTGGCCAGTTGCATCATATCTGTCTCCTGGGCTTGGGGGGAAGTTGGCTGGGGATGAGACTTTCATCTGGGCCTTCCCTCTGCTCATTGGAAGGAGAATAAGGGTGTGGGGCAGGGCTGGTGGGCAGGTGGTGGTGCACCAAAGAGGGGGCATGGCCCTCCTGAGGAGGCCAGCTGTCCATCAGCACACCAGTGCTCACTTACTCATCTTCTTGGTAGGTTGCCTAGTGTTGTAAAGCTTGAATTTTAAGGCTAGATTAAATAACACAGCTCTTGTCCAAGAAGTAAAAGGATGAGTAAAAACTCAATTGGGCAATTGTTTTGCCTTGATAACTGCAATGGCATTTGAAACTGGTGTGCTATGATTGCACTAGTCAGTGTTTATGGGATGATGCTCCCTGTTATGTAGCAAGTGGTCTATTATATGAATAGAAGTAGGACAGCTTTATTTTTTGAAATTGCTTTCTGTCTGAAAACCTGTTCCTTTATTGTTTTGACAGTGATAAACTTTTCTTTACTGCTCCTGCATTGTATCATAAATAACATTGTGTATGCAAATACCCTTTGGGTAGTTCTGGAGAGCTTGAGTTCAGCTTTTGGCCACCTGGGATGTGTATTGTGAACCCTTGTAAAACCCATTCCTCCTGGCCCTCTACTTTCTGTCCTGTTCCTCCAGACAGTGGGAGAATCGGTAAACTTGGAGGATTTCACTTAACTTCTCTGCCATAGAGTATCTGGTGCTTTGAGTTACTACAGAAAGCACAGCTGGGTGAGTTGTTCTGTTGCCCTGCCCCAGTGTTGCCCTTATTTGACTCATTTCTTTCTTCCTAGTCATTTTAAGCTCTCAGATTCTGAACAGTCAAAAGGTTAAACCATAATCTTCTCCACTGAGATTTTGCAAATGCTTTTTCGTTCTAAAATTGCAGGTTTCCATCAATTTAGTGAGCTGCTTATGGCAGGCAGACTTTGTCCTGCTTCTGCTCATGGCACTTCTCCTTTTGATCTCAACAGATGTTTATTTTCTTAAAACTCAAGGACAGTGGATACACTAAAAGTACCAGCGTGGAGGATGCTGCAAGGAAAAGCTTAGCAAACGAAAAAATATTTGGCATTGGTTTAAAATGAGGACAAATTAGAGCTGAGCCTCTTCTTGAGGTATGCACCCTTGACTAATCAATTAATGAAGTCTTTACTGCTGGTGTCAGGTTTTCTTGTCCTTCTAGGCCAAAGTGTGCCAGTGGTGTATGTACATCTGGACTGCAGTGTCTCCACACGTCCTCCTCCCTGCAGTGCTCTGACATGGAGTTAGCACATCAGTAAAGGCAGTTGCGTGCAGTTGCTTGGCCCATGCCTCACAGACGTTGTGTTTATGTTGTAATTCTCTCTGAAAATGCTGCCTGATCTTTCTGGGGAAAGAGGAGATAGAGGGAAATTAAGTTGACAGTTTAGCTCCTGTGTCCATGAGCCATAGGTCAAAGGCCTGGAATAAAATCTGTGGGACAAAGTTCAAGCCAAGCTGCTGTTTACATGATCCTGCCTGGTTCTTGGGCACGGGCTGAGACAAGGCAGTGGGGTGTTAATGATGTAAGTTTTGAATTTCTTGTGTCCCCTTTGGAAGCCTTGGTTTAGTGGGGTACTGTTCCATGTAATTATCCCAAGGGGGTCCGTGGCTGAATCCAGGACTGGAGAGCTTCCCTGTGGCTCTTCTAGGAATGCAGGCACCCTCCTGTGAATACATCATTACTGGAAGGCTTGTTACAAAGCTGGGAGGAATTTAGGAGGAGAGTGTTGGAACACTGGTTTTGTCTGTTTTTGTTTCCTCCTCTTTCACTGTTAGCAGGAAAGCAGTAATTAATACAGCTGGATGTTAAAGGCAGCATTTTCTGTTGGCTCTGACTTCTTTCTAGTATTCAGTTTCCAGACACAGCACAAACAGATGGTAGCAGTCAAGTCTTTGGTTAGCTTAGGATCCTTCTTAGAAGAAAAAATGTTCTGTGATGATATGTGCTTAACTTAGCTCTTCTTATCTTGAAGACAGAACAGCCTAATAGGAGAACAGTTAACTTTGTTTTAAAATGGAGTGCTTAATATGCTGGTGTTGGCAAGGAATCTGGAAGCATGAGCTCTGGGTGGACACTTGATAAGCTTATAGCAGGAAAAGGAACAGCTTCAAAGTTCACTAAATCTCAAAGTGGTGTCTGAAACACACAGCTTCAGAAGTTGCTGGGCTGCATAGTCTCAGTTATAAATGCTCTTACTAGGATGATTTTGGATGTGCATGGTTACTACCTCCCCAGCTCTCCTTGCTGGAGCAACAGTTTAAAGTGCCATGTTCTCTATAAACTCATGGACAGTATGACACCTTAGTTGCACTGTTAGGTGTATCAGAAAATGGTATCTAAGAAACTGGTTTGAGAAAATGTAAGTCTTAGATGCTTGCATGCTGGTTGGTGTTTTGGGGGTTAGGGTTTTTTAACGTTTTACCTTGATAAGCTCAAGTGGTTGGTAGGGGACACCAAAGGGATCAGCATGGCAGAGCTAGGCAGTGAGGTTAAAATAAAACAAGCAGTGAGTTGATGAAGTTTATGGCTGTTGGAAAATCCCAAGTGATGATACTCGTGTAACATTTTCTTCATTCCTCCTGAAGAAGCAAATCCTGGGAGTGTTGCAGTTAATGAAGGAATTGACTGCGTGTGTAATTGCAAACATGAAGCCAAACTTCCTTTGCGTGACTTGCAGTTTTTTTAGAATGTCATTAACAAGATGACTTGCTAAGTATGCAAAAGTCAAATGTGAACAGGACAAGAGCCTTTATGATGAAGCAAGAATGGGGAGGGATTTGAAGTAGAACGCTGTTAATATCCCCTGAAGAAATGTTTGCAAGAGAACTTTTTCTACAGCAAAGTCTAAACGTAACGTGGTCTGAATGCTGCAAATAAATAGACAACATTTATCCAAAGCAGTTAATTCTTGAAAATAGTTTTGCTACATAGTTCAACCACAGCAGTGGTTACTTTTGACATCATTGGAAGGCTCCTGCTGAGTAGAATGGTCTTGAGTCCAAATTTTATCTTGAAGTTGCATTTTGTTTGTGCCTCTTGCTGATGAGAAGAGTATTGGGAAGCGTGAACATATACCCATGTCCAAAAGCAGCTAATGCACTTGGCAGCCTTCACAGGAGTGCTTGTCCCATAAACATAATGTAACAGGATCCAGTAGATTCCCAAGTGTAGAAGATGTGCTGTAATGGAAATTGTGTTAAGACTTGAGTAATGCTTTAAGAAGTCTACAGTGGCAGAGCTTTAAAGGTGTCTTTTAAGGTCACAATTTGCTTCTACCATTTTGTAAATCTTTCAAGACTAAATTAGTTTGTGTTTTTTTTTTTTTTTTTTTTTTTTTTTTTTTTTTTTTGTTCTGCTAGTAAGTGCAGCTGTTTGCACCACTCTTTGTTGGGAGGTGTATGCTCATACCAGTGTAACTGAAATTTGGAACATTAAGATGTCTGCAAAAGTAGCAGTTAAATTGATTTGAAGAGGAAAAAAAAAACCAGTGATGCCCCCTCAATCACTGTGCTTGACATACAGCATCCACCCATCTGTTGTAGTGTGCCATTAAGAGGATTAATAGCATAGACCTAAAGAATGTGGAGATCATCCTTTTGTCATGGGAAATGGGTCCAATTTCCTACTCAAATCAAATTTGACTAATTCTGTCCAAGTTGCAAATTTTCTGTGCAATAACTGAAAATCATTTCTGATTTTCCTTCCTGACAGAAAAAAAACCCTTCCAAGTGTAGCAGTTTGTTAAATTTAGTTTTATGAGGCTTGAACACTGCTACTTTTAGATCTGTTTTAAACTGGAGGAGGTGCTTAAGTTATGCAACATTAAAACAAAAGCAGAACACAAGCTGAATGGCTTTTGCACTATTATTTTTATACATTCAAGAGACCCAGTTACTAGGAATAGACACCTTAAAATAGGTCAGTTGTCATGTATGGATGGTTTAAATGAACCATGTAAAGCTCATATTGGCTCTCATAAAAACATCAGTGTATCTACTAGTAAGTGTAAAGTGATAACAGCCTTGTTTCAATCAGACTTCAGTACAGATTATCTTTTCCTTGCTTTACAGGAAAATCTTCACTGACGATTCAGTTTGTGGAAGGACAGTTTGTGGATTCGTATGATCCAACCATAGAGAACAGTAAGTAAATAACTGACAAGCTGCTCTCCCATACCAGACTGACTTGTATCAGAAACCATTGTGGTTATACATGTTACTTATGTGTGCATTTGCATACTAACATTAAAGCTCATTGATTTCCTGTGAAGTTCTATTACTCTTTTAAACCAGTGCTTACAAAGCTTTTACAGGATTGCAACGTGGAAATCACTGTGTCTGTATTGCTCTAAACAGTTAAACTGCCTTTCAACACTAAATGAGGGAAGACCTAATTGATCAGACTAAACTGTATCTCTTTCTTGTATTATATGTATGCTGTTGGATATCTGCTTCCTCTAATAAGGTTGGGGCACTTCAAAGTATGTCATACCTATATGAAAATGTGCCACCATAGACAAGTACTCCAGAGTCCCAGATGTCTCATTTGATCAGTGTATCCAGATGAATACAAAGCCAGTAATATCAGTCAGGAGTAAATGACTGCCATAGAAGGTAGATGTGCTGTGGCCATGACAACGTGATAGTCTTTAAAATTACTCATTTCCCACTGCTTGATAACAAGCCTGGTGCACAATCAGCTTGCCACAAATACTGGGGAAATGTATTAAGTGTCTTTTTTTCTCTTAGCAGTTCTTTTTAATGTTAGTGCCTTCGTGTATAGCTAGCATAGCGGGTGAATAAAGATACTAAAGATGCTGCCAAGAGCAACAAGTCACTTCAGAGGCAAGTTACCCAGTATTTGTTACAGTCCAGCCACCTCCCTCTGAGCTAGTGGTGGTCATGAAGTACTGGAGCAACTGTAGTGCTAGGCTCAGTAACTTGATCATATTGGCTCACTTTAGTCATGTGGCAAATAACTTTGATTTCATGATCATAACCCTGGAGCTCGTGTATTTTAATGACTTCTGAAATGCAGTGGTAGCACACTTTTTACTGTTTCCAGTTGGTAGGGTGCTAAGCCTATGTGATACTCTGGAATTTTGAATGAAGTAATCAGGAGCACAAGGTTTATTTTGGATATATATGATAAGAATTAGAAATCAGTAGCTATCAAGTTATTTTACTTAGCTCTAAGCAATAAAATAATCCTAAAATTCAAATGCTATTCTTTGAGAAGTTCTAAATTTGCTTTTTAGTGAGTCAGGGTGGATAATTTGGGCCAGAATGATCTGTTAGTGCTTATACAGATGTCATTAATATTAGCATTTTCCATCATCCCTGTTTACTTTGCTAGAATTATCAGTAGCATTTATTTTGGTTGAAAGCTGTTAACTAAATATTAAGGATTAAGTTTTGGTATTTTAAATCTAGCATCTTAACATCAGTTGGGACAGATTATTATTCACTGTGCTATATAAATGCAAATTATTTGAAGTAATATCTTTGGTTTATGCAGGTATGTGAGAATGAATAAAGCTTGAAAGACTTAATCATCTTATTTGACTTATTTGGTCGAAGTCTCCAAAATACTGAGTCTGTCTCTTGCTTCAGAATTTTAACACCTTGGTACAAAGCTGGGTTGTTTCATCCTTTCCAAGCTCTTGTAATCCACAGAAACCTATTGTTTGTAACTTCTGTTAGTAACTCTGTAGTTGTATGTCTCTCACTGGTAGTATTTCTTAACTATAGAAAAATACACTCTGGATGAATTGTGCTCTCAGAGGACACTTGAGGTTTGCACTGCTTGCTTGATCTGAAGTCTAAACACTGAGCATCTGGTGGCTATGAAAACTTTGTTGGGTGAGGGCATCTTGAAAAGGCTTAACTTTTCACTTGGTTTCTTACTCGTTTGGAAAACAAAGAGCATTATTCGTTTGAAAGTCCTGTGACCTGTGGTGTGGCTGGAAGAATTTGCTTTCTGCAAGGTACAGAATTGAAGGGCCTTTCTTGCATCAGAACACGTTGAAAACATGAAAGATGTGCCCTGAGTTTTGAAACAGTAGGAATTCTGTCCTATCTTTAACCTGGAAGGTCTGATGGAACATTTTAAAAATGCATTTGTGAAGGGTGGGACAGATTTCACCATCAAATTTACCACTGAAATTTAAAACAGATTGAAGGCGTCTCTTTTAAGAAAGACATGGAACCAGTTTAAGTGGGATTAGTATAAAATCATTCTTTTGACTTAAATCCTTAATCTTTTTAAATATTTTTTTTCTAAATACAAATATGTGATCAATCCAGTCATTTGACACTGCTAGCTGTATGTTTCTATTTCTGTGCAGGGTGATAAAACACAGAGTATGTAATCAACTCTTTTACTGTTTTCCTAGCTTGTGATTCCAAGTCTGGTTGACAGTGCTGGCAAAGAGGGGTTGAGAAGTCCAGCTTCCTATACTAGGGGCGGTTTTGAAGAATGTTGCATTCCAGTGCCTTTATAGCAGGTGGTAAAACCTGTTCAGTTTCATCTAGTGAGGTCTGCTTTAGTGTCACAGAATTTGGGTATTAAAAAAAACAACCAACAGCTTAAAGACTAGAATAGTCTGGCCTATGTGACTTCTGTTTTGTCTCCAGAAAATTTTTACTGCTAATTTACCACAGTATTCTACTAGAACTGCTGGAAGGGTGGAAAGCCAGAGTACTGCTGGTAGGTTAATTCTTATAGTTGGTCTTAAATAATAAAATTTGCACCAAAAATTGAGTGTAAAGCTAAATTGTATAGAAGGCAAGCTATAGTTAATCTCTTATAGAAATGAATTGCATAGCATGTAAGTGTCGAACAATAAGAATAAGACCTAGTATTCTAGTAGCTCCGTGTTTGCAGTGTGACAATATCTACCTTCTTTGGAAGTGATAAAGGGAAAATAAGCTGCCTCAGATGTCTGTTAGTGTTTGTTGAAGTCAACACTGCTTCACTGCTGCATTTTCCTTTGCTTATTACATTAGAACCACAAAAGTTATTGAGCATGTTGAATTCACTTGCTTCTTCTGGGCTTGTGTATCAGGTAGAGGAACTTGTAGCATCCTGGAGCAGCAGCAGAGGTGAGAATTAATTGCTTAGCAAACAGTGTCTCCCCCTCCCCCTCTTGAATGTCCCAGCAGGAGGGACACCATGGTGGGTGACAGGATTTTTGAGACAGCCAGGTTGAGAAACTAGCAAAGACCATAACAACTTAACTCAAATTTTACTGGAATAAAACCTAGGATCTTAATTTAGAGCTCAAAGCAAATAGGTCAGAGGGAGCAGTTAATGAAATTGTGCACATAACCACCCACCACCATCTTTGCACGGATGTCTTTGGTTATCATTAATTCAGTGACTTTGTGTTAACAGGGAAGCTGGCTTGAGTGCCCGAGTCTCAGAAACGTTTTCTGCAGCTCCTCTGAGGCCTGCCTGGCTGCGTTCTGCTTTATCCTGCAGTTCCAGAGAAGCTTCTAGTGCTGTGATGCAGCTCTACTGAGCCTGAACAGGCTCAGTAGCTCCCTAAGGAAAGGAACAGTCTTCCCCCAAGGGCTTCCTACCTCCGTCCTGTGTTTTTTTTAATACAGTTGTGAGTAGAAGCATATTAGAAAGGGAGAGGGGGCTGGAGGAACCCTAGTAGTTACGGAGGGGTTACCTAATAAGTTTAGGTGGGTCTGATAGAAGCATCTTTAAGGGTAATCTTCCTTGCATGTCATGGCAACTGCACTGGAAGGGTGCAGCATGCTTCTTGCCAGGAGTTGCTGATGAGCAGCCTGCTCAAGAGATGGAAATGAGGCTTCCGAGAAGAATTAAAAATAGCTCTGTTGCATTACACATCTCAGTGTTGCAAAAGATATTCTGAGAGATTAGTGACAGGCACTGACTTTGGAATGAAGACAAGTAGAAAGGGATGCAGAAGGTAGTAACTGAGGAACCCTTGCCAGGTGGTTGTATTTAGCTACCAGCTAGTAGCTCTGTGGAAATAATGTTCTACCAGCCTTGTACCTTTACTCAGTAGCACTAGTGATCAAAAAGCCTACATTCATATGCCCAGTACTGATTTTTCTGTTTTTATCATAATGACTTGATTCCACAGCAGCTGTCATTTGAGTTGCATATGCAAATAATTTCATTCATGTTAGTCTAATTGAAATATACTTGATCTTAGGGTAACGATGATCAGCAGCTGATGGAGCTGCTGCACAAGTTACACTGCTGCTGAGCTGCAGCAGCATCCAGGGCTGTGCTCTGCATATAATTTTACCAGAACTTTCTCTGATAGCAGAGTGTCTTCAATTTCTTTGCAGTGCAGCTGTTGAGTGCTGCCCCCTCAGCTGTGCACATACTCCCATTCAGCACCACAGCACCAGATTCTCTAAGTTTCACCAGTGTGTCAAAACGAAGAGTAACGGTGGGCTGAGGTGGGGATGGCAGCTTTCTTCATACTGCTGTGCTCGGGTTACACACTGCAAGGTGTAAGCACGTCCTCTTCTGAGACCCATGTGCTTTGTGGAGCTAAAATGGGCTTCAGCCATGCTGCAGATGATGAGCAGCATTTTGCAGATGGTCACTTCATGACTAGGACTACAGACATTTTTCGGGTCTGCCAACATCTGTCACTGGCATACCAGGAAGAGCCATCCTGTGCAGTCATTGTACTGTTGGCTGTCTTGCTCACAGGCGCAGCAGAAAGGCAGTGTGTCCCAGGATGGTAGCTGATGGAATTGGAAGTGAAGACTTCCTCTGGATCAAGGGGGCTTATGGATCACTAATGACACTTAATACAGCTGCAGGTTTTTTCCAGGAGTAAATTCTTACCAGGAGGACTCTTAAAAAGCTTCAGGAAAGAAATGGGAGTCATTAATTATGACTGCATCAAAGCAGATTTGTGTTCTTGCAGTGGGCTGTTCTAGTGCTACAAGCCTCTGCACTGAACTAACAGTTCTCTCACCCAGTCTGTGGTGACTCCTCCACTGTTTCCCTTCCCCTGGCTCTGTCACACTCTACTTCCAGTACCGATGATGATGTCTTTGCCGAGTCTATTCTCAGCGTCTAGAGTAGTCTGAAAAAGCTGCCATCTGTCTCTGTCCCTTTTTAAATATTAACTTCATGAGGCTCTTGAAGCTACTTCTGATTGCAGAGTGCTTTGATGTGTATGTGAAGTGTCAAGAGACTAGAGAGACTGTTACTTTTAATATACCTGTTAATGCAGTGTGTCTCCAGATGAGCCTGTTTTCCCCCTGACTTGAAGCAGGGATGTTGTATATGGCAACGCTGCACGTTAACATCTGTTCAAACAAACAGTTGCTTCTGTCCACACCACCGTATTCGTCCCAAGGCAAAGAGATACTACAGTTTCTTACTTCATAACACTAACATTTTTTTGTAGCGGTGATAACATTGTCCAGACAGTGACTTGAGAGCAGCTTACATGCATGTGTGCTAGAGCAGCATTCTTAGGGGATGGAGGGGTAAGGCAGGAGCTCTCTCTGTGAGGCTCTGTTTCAAATTCCACTGGCTGGGGTTGTAATGGAAACTGTGAGTATGCTTTATGCTGTTTATTTAGACACTCTGCGTTAGTTCAGCTTTGCTGGGATTTATTGTTCCTTTTCTAAAAAGGGTCCTTTGATTTACTAGGTGGGTTGAAACCTCCAGTTTCAGCTATTTCAGCCCACTTATTCAAGATAATACTCACATTGTGGAGACAACAGGGCAATGAGCATTGGCAAGGAGAAGGAAAGCTGGCAAACTTCAGCTTCTAGAAGACCCTGTACAAAACCCAGATGCGTAGGCAGGAGGCTGCATAGTGGCCTCAAGAACATTCAACTTTGCAGCTGCAGGAAGCTGTTGGGCAACTTGAAGTATGATGAACAGGTCACTGCAGTGTTCTAGCTGTTTCCTTGCTCATCACTGCAATGAAGGGTGGAGCTCCGTAAGACTGTTAGTGTTTGGGAGAACCACCTCAAGTGGAGGACAACACAGACTTTGCTGAATGTATCAATACTGGCCAGTAATTGTCCTGAATGCAGTACCAAGGCTGAAGTGAAGCTCTGAAGCCAGGTGTGTGTGCTCTTGTTGGTACATGTAGAGGTTGGTTTGTAGTACATTGTTCTGATGAGCTGTGACACTGTTTGCTTTGCAGTTGCATAATACAAACACTGAGTAAGATTCCTCAGCTCACAGTGTGTTGGCATTTCATGAATCCGTGGAAGAGAAGCAGTTCTCACCACTTTTGGGGACTGAGTGTACTTCTGACTGAGGACTAGATAGGCTGGAAGCTATGTCAAATGTGAAAGCAATGTGGTGAATTTCTAGCTGAACTCTCATTATTTAGGTTTAGTGTATTCATAAGTTAGGCTTTGTGTGTTTTAGCTCCCAAAGTTCCTGATTTGTTTTTAATCTAGTTTGTTTACCTCATGATATTTACATTTAGAAAATTGATCTTGCTGAACTGCAAACTTAGAAACTGGGGGAAATATCCTATGGGATAAGTTGAAGCTTAACTTTGATGCCAGCTGTATCTTAGTGTCTTGTGTTACCTCAAATTACAGTTGTCTGGAAGTCTCTTAGAAAAGCATGTAAATACCCTTTGTACTCTTTCCTTTTAAGTAAGGGAGAAACTGGTGTATCCACTATGAAAATCTTCTGAAATTTGAAATTTTAAAGTAAATTTCTGAATTTTGTTACCTGCAGTACCCTAAACGTACAGCCACCTGGTCTAGCCTTTTACTGCTACTTTAAAGCCTATAACTAAAGTTCTTTTTCATAGTGTCTTGGCTGATGATGGCATAGATAAGTGACTTGTTACCTGTTTCTTGTTTTTTCCAGCTTTTACAAAACTGATCACAGTAAATGGCCAAGAATATCACCTTCAGCTGGTTGACACTGCTGGCCAAGTAAGTTACCTTTCTTTCCTTGAATCTTTCTTCAGAGTTAAGACAACAGGTAATCATACTCCTCTAGAGTTAAGTTGGTAGTGACCATGTGTTCAAAGGCAAAGATTAATTTGAAGGATTCTGCCTTCTTGTTCACCCACTAAGGAGCAGTGTTTCTGTAGTGTTTATTTAAAGGCTTGGTTTGGGCTTTTTTTTTGTTGGTTCTGTTTTTCCTGTTGAGCATATGTCTAAAGAAGTGAAGAGGGATCTGCCTTAACTCTATAAAAAAATTCCTGTGTACCTTGCTTAATTTTACAGAATAAACCATCAGTCTTGCTTTAGATGGAAAATATCACTTCAGTAAACCATGAGGAAGGTTTTAATGACTTTTTCCTATTAGTGTGATCCAGCAACCCCACCATGACTTGTATGCATGAAATAGTCCCAGGGAATAGACAGAAATGTGTGTAGGCAGTACTTACAGGCTACCAGTAAACTGCTGCAGTTTGTTTACATTTTTGCATGGTGGTTCATACCTGCTTGTGAGCCTTCGTGTAATGACAGGGAGCACAGGAGGAGACAGTGAACGTGTGTCCTGCAGTGTGGGCAGAAGCTTCAGGAACTATAGTTCTCCATTATAGTATGTGGTGTTGCTTGGCTGAACTTGCGCAGCACATTCCATGCACTTTTGAAAGACTTATTAAAAACAAACAAACAAACAAAAAAAAAACCAACCCAAACTCTTAAACCCCTGTATTCATACCCTAAACTTTTTATTGCTTACATATTGTTCTTAACCTTCTATGATTCCTGCTACACTGTGCCTTTGGGTTTTTTCAGACTATGAGTAGTGTTAATGTTAGTGTTGTCAATATGATGCCAGTACTGAAAAGTTTAAAGCTACAGGACACTTGCTCATAGCTTAGAAACTATTCAGAAGGGTTGTGGCCTTCTAGGTATGTTTGATCTCTCTCTTTGAAGAGAGCTACATGACTATGCTGTGTTCATCTGGTGTCAGCTTGCGGTGCTCATCAGCAGCACTGTTTCCACTTCTGATCTGTCAGAGGTGTCTGAAGTGATCAGGAACACAATGCTGGCCGTGGGTTCTGGGGCAAGATTGTTTGATGTGGAATACTCTGCAGAGGAGCATGGGGCTGAGAGCTGGGCAGGCTGAAAAGTGTGAGCAGCACTCCATAGGTTTCACTTTGTGCCAATGTAAGTGTGCTTCCCTTATCTTCAATTGTAGCATAGTGATAAAAGTGAAATTTCGGTGTGGGGAAGAAATGGCCTTCAGGGAAGGCAGTGTGACTTCACCCGTAATGTATCTCTACTGCTGAGGTATATTTTCAGGGTTGATTTGATGTTACATAGTATTGTAAAACCAAAATAACTTCTTTCCCAGCCTGTGGTTATTTTCAGGTTTGATTGAATGACTATGAATGACTTCAGCTTTGTAGTTTTGGCCCGCAGGGTTAGAGGGCAGATACGATGTTGGGCTATGGAAGGTGTGGCTTGGACAGTTTTCTTTCAAGTCTGTCTTGCTTAATGATCCATAGGGAGTCCTTCTGTATATACAACACAGCAAGGATTACATTGCAATTTGTTACATACTTGAAAAGTTGGCTGTGACTTGAAAAGTTACAGCTACATTGTTTTATCACAAGGTTTGGCAAAGGTCTTAATTTGACTCATGAGTTCCAGGAAGCACAGCAGCTTTTGTTCCTTCTCCTAACTAGCTAAAAATTAAGTAATGAATTAGAAACGGTTGAGGTTATGGCATTTATTTGTCTTGGAACTCCTCTTCTGTCCTGTTCCTCTTTACCTTTCACAGTTATCTATTCAGATATGTAGTTCAGTTAAACAGGGTATTGGGACAGAATTACAGAAGGGGAGTACAAAAGGAAATCTTACCCAACACCAAATTCCAGCTGGGGCAATCCTGAGAAATTCCAGGAAAAGTCAAATTCCAGAGTTGCACTTTCACCTGTTTTACATGCAGACCAGCTCAGATCCTTTCTGTGTTGGCTGTGGGATTGCACGGCCAGCTGAAGTGGCAGCTTGGCATTTCAGTGAAGATGGGGGAGGGCTGCCCTCAGTGGGCAGCAAAAAAGGCAAATAAGGGCATCTTTTGTCAAGTGTTATTCTTTCAAACTTTTTTGGCTGAATCTTTGAAGTTGATTTATAAAGGGTTTTTCCTCATTTGCCAGTTAAGGAAGGTTGACTCCTTTTGGCTGTCTGGATTTAAACTGTGATTGCACTGTTCCATCTGTGCAGCCATGACAATATACAGAGAGGTTGTATGATCTTAAGCTAAAATTAACAAGTTGAGAAGCATAGATGTAAAAGTTTGAGAACTTGTACGTTAAGGAGGAGGTATAGCTCACGTCAAAGTGGAAATGCTTCCTGGGAATCTCTATTCAAACAGCTTAGATTTTTAACATGGGATTCATAGTCTGTTGCATTTACTGATTTGGTCAGTTCCTTTGCTACAGGGGTAATGAATTCAGTGATTAAGTTTCTGGTGCCTTTTTTCTTTTTTTTTTCTTAAACACTTGTCATCTAATGTAAAGCAACTTCTTGCTGTATTTCTTGCATCTGTAGTTGATAGGCATTAGCTAGTAAGCCACAGTTACTCATTTCCTAGGAGATCCCTTAGGTAGTTTAGATGTGATCAGTGACACTTGAAATTAAGAACTGCTAGATCCTGTCATCAGCTGTTGAAATTAGGAATTTGAAATGTATAACCAGCAAGATAAGAGGCATAATTGCTAATTAGTGGTAGGACAGAGTGGATGTTTTATACTAATACAAACTGATAATTAAGGAGGATAAGAGGATTGGGAATAGCTTTAGCTGCTATGTAGTCTTAAAGGAAATAAACCAAAAAAGCTATGGATTAAATTTTACAGTACACACACTGACTCAGCTTTCTGATTCCACATATGGCATTCTGATTTTAAAAACTTCATTCTGAAACTACTACCTATACGAAATGCCCTGCACCTCATGGCTTAGAAATACAACCAGCTTATCCAATGGTGGTCTGCTAGCATTGAGTTCTGAACTGTGGCAGTAAGTAACTTTAACTGCAATATTCCTTCTTACAGGATGAATACTCCATATTTCCTCAGACATACTCCATAGACATCAATGGCTACATTCTTGTTTATTCAGTCACATCAATAAAAAGGTAATAAAATCTGCTGTGCTTTTCTCATTCAGATGTTGGCCAGATATATTGTGAGCTCAGCTCCTGCCTCTGCTATATTTTCTTCACACGTTTCTAATTCATTTAGTTATCTCCCTTAGAAGCATAACAGAAGGATAATGGAAATTAAAGGGTTTTTTTCAGACATTTCCCCTCAGATCCAAATGTCACAGGCATTTTGCAGACTAACACACAGGGTACCGTGTAGGAAACGAGACAGTGCTAAACTACATTGTTTTTTGTGAAAGTACAGAGAGTGATTTCAGGAATGAGAGTTCATTGCTCTAGCATCAAATACAAAGGCAGACTTAAACATGAACCAAAAGGGCACTGTATATTTATGTGAAGTAACCAGTTAGTTAGTAGATAGGTCTGTCAGCCTTGTAGCTCATTACAGTACAGAGATTTCTGTGACTTCTTGTCTTGGATTGTTCTGGTTAACCATCAGAAATCTTCATATACATAGCAATATATGACTTTTGGCCTGTAGACCTGCTTTTGACATTCTGCAGCAAATAAGCTTCTTTGAAAGTCTTCCCAGAATATCTGTTTTGTCCTTGCTGTTAGCTGTCCTTTCTGACATGAGGACAGCGTCCATCATAGCTGGAGTCATTTACTTGGAAGACTCATCTCAGCCTTCATAAGGCTTTGTCATCTTCTCTTATTTTGTCCCTTCCTCTGGTCATCTTGGTTTGTTTAAATACTGATCATTCTTGAATAGGTCTTACCTTTCTAATACTGTACAGAATCTTCATTACAGCCAAAAGAATCCTGTTTTCTTAAATTTTTGAGTAAAATTCTTAAGACCTTGGAACTTTCACTCTTGAGTAGAAGAGTTGATGCTTTGTTTCTACTTTCAAGGAAGGTGATGAGCTTTTTTTAAGTGCTGAAGTGTTCCATGTTTTTTCCTCTAAATCAGATAAAACGGATCATCTCAAGTGGTCCTTAGTATACTATCATAAAAGAAAGATGAAACAAGTTGCCTGTTGGCTCTTCTGTGGCTCTCAAAGAAAGGTTACAATGTGGTTGTAAACTTCCGTTGCTTGCAGGGTCTTTAACATTGAGCAGATTTTTCCCAGTCCTTCATTCTTGATTTTCATCTCTAGTTCTGAAGTAGTGAAGGGCAAGTACATGTGATCTGCAGGAAGTGCAACAGATGTTAGGCTTTCATGTGTGCCTAGAGATAATGAATTACCTAATTTTTTTTTAAATTGGAGACTCAGTGTTGGTGCCAAATAACCTGGGTGAAGTAAGAGTTCATATTCTCAGCCTCAGGCAGACAATTCTCCACTCTTTAAAGTGAACAGAAAAATGTTCATTGATAAGTGGTACTGGGAGACAAAAATGCCTTTGACTAAAATTGGTGTAGATTGCTTGGAGGCTTCTACAGCTTGTGCTGTTCCATGGTTGGCAGCTAAAGGGCATGTTCTTTCAGCTGCTCCAGTTGTTGCCTCATGATGTCTTGAGCTTAGCAGGATGCAGGAAGTGAAAAATCTGTTTTCTGTGGTAGCGTTCAATCTGTTCAAACAGAAACCAAATTATGGTGAAAATACTAACAGAACAACATTTTAAGACTAGGTGGGCAGTCTTTCATCAGTGTTTTAGTGTTGATCACTGCATCCCGAGTTTGTTTCTTCCTTTAAATTTCAAAGTATCGGTGATCCTGTCTCTTGTTCAATTCCTCATGTTCTGTATCAAGACTGTTTAGGCATTAGGAAGGCTCTTCCACAGTACTCTTGATAGTTTAGATGACTTGCCCAGGCAATCAGTCACCATCTGTCTTCTGTCAAAGTGTGGATATTGATCTAAGTATTGATCCATCAGGGGTGAGAGCTTTGACAGCAAACTTAATAGAAATGCTCTTTAAAAATTGTCATCTTCCCAGCTAATCTCCAGTGGGAAGTTTAATGAGGCTTGAGCCAAAACTAATGCCCTACATTTTTCATGCTCTCAGGCTCTCAGCAGGTAAGGTTACTTCTGGAAGGCGCTTGCTCTAGTTCAGCTTAATTAAATTCCAATTTTGTATCTTGCTAGGCTCTATGATTTTGTGTAACACGTTTATCTGACAGCTAGTAATTTTTTTCGTTTTATTTCACACGTTTTGCTGTTTGCTGTAACCTAATTTGCCTGACAGAACTGGAGAGGAATTCTTACAGTCCCCAAATGTCTTGCTGTTTCACAACTTGATGTGATGCTCTTTTTGAATAGGTCGATATCTGTCTTAAAGTGTCTCCCTGCTCCTAGATTTACTAATTTGAAAAGCTCTCTGGAACATTACATTGACCTGGTAAAGCCGATTTCATTCCTGGCAGTTCCTAGCAACTTGTTTCTGTATTAGAATTCTGTTGGAGTTTAAATAGCACTTCTCTTTTGGTTTCCACCTTGATCTGTTAAGACTAGCTGTTTATTTGTAGTGCTTTTACTAAAAATAGAGCTCATGAGCTTTCCTAGGCAAGCATTTAGATACACAGAATTGGGAAATGAAGAGCCCAGGTTGAACAAGATCACTTGGCAGCATTGTGCAGTGGAACTTCAGGTGAGGACTCACCAGGTTGCTGTGCTGTGGCACGGCACTTTTCTGGCTGTGCTGGAAAAAACACACCTCATCATGGGAAGGGAGCAGTGATTGTACTGCAGCAGTGATTCAGTTATCCTGTGGCTGGTACACTAGATCTTTCCTGGTGCTGCAGGCTGAGAAACAGTTTTGTGGTCTATAGCAGAATTCTTTTTTTTTTTTTTTTTGTGGTACTTCTATTCTTTCAGTTTCCAGGGTCACCTCGCTCTATGTGTAACAATGCCTTTCCACTTTTTCACAACCAAGCTCCATTTATCTCTTATTTTTGAAATAATTACAAGAATGAAAGTCCAAGACAAGTCCTCAGGACCAGAATTTCACCAGTACCTTTTCAGAATGATCTTTGTAACCCTGAAGTCCTTTCATTGATTCAATATTTTTATGTTACGTGTATTATCATACTAAAAGTAAGCTCTACCATACTAAGTCCTGCTTTTCTTTGCAAAGAACCCATTTTCTTGATAGGTATACTAAAACTATTAGCTGAACATGGAGAAATACTGTATGTTCTACTTGGTCTCAACAATTACTGCTGAGGCCAGACAAATTGATCTACTTGACAGAAAATCCTTCTTAAATTTAGTAGCATTTATTGCTCTGGAAGTGAGAAATTTTAATGATTCAGATAGCTTTAGTAGTGGTTTTAGGCACCAGTTCTTTGAGAGCTCTGAGCTGGAAGTGTTTGAGTGCTGCTCTATTTTTCAGAGTTCTAGTTCTAATTGAAATGCAGTGCAAGTCAGGATGCTGCCTGTAGCTAACAACCTTAGAAGCTGGAAAACTTTCGGCCAGTTTTTTTTGTCTAGCTCTGTCTCATCTGTGAGCTTGTGCCTCTCTCTGGAAATACATCTGAATTGTGCACTTCCAGGTACCAGCAGGTTTTTTCCATAATGTAATTAGAGGAGCACAACATCTGCTCTTCAACCCTGTTTATAGGTTGTTCTCAGAAGTACTAAATGTCAAATGCAGTGGATTTTGTTAGAGAGATTTTCTGGCTTCTTGGTATTTCACAGTACTGCTTCTGTCATCCAAACTTCACATACATGGTAGGTGAACAGAAAACAAGTCTTTGAATAACCTCTGTTTCAATACCATCTTGCAGATCAGTTTACTCACTTTCCATAGGAAATTAGAACTTAGGCTGCTTTTAGTTTTCACAGAAATAAAACTAAAGAATGCTATGTGAACTAAATGTTCTTTAAAAAGTGTATTCTTGCAAGGTGGAGTATGATTAAATAAATGCTTTTTTCTTTGAAACTGGTTTATTTTGACATGCTCATCCAGGGTTGTTGGACTCTAGCAGTTAGATTTCTTACTGCAGATACAAACCATATGGGAGGGGGGCTTTTAGTGATTCTGTGTTAGATGCATCAGTGCTGGGTAATGTTATTTATTTGTATTAAGGGGGGGGCTGTAGTGGTAGCCACAGGGCAAGTTTTGCCTGTAGTGTAGCCACAGGCTAGTCTTTGCCACTTCTGGGGCCATTTTGTCTGTTGTACACAGAGGGGTAAGACTTATCAGCATCCTTGTAGTTCTGCCACTATACATAGAGTAAGTTTTAAACACAGCAACCTACATGTGCATTTAATTTCTTGTGTATTGGGTGTTAAGGATAAACATTGGAGTGCATGTGTGACTTCATCCCTTTATTTTGCAGTTTTGAAGTGATAAAAGTTATCCATGGCAAGTTATTGGATATGGTGGGAAAAGTCCAGTAAGTAGTGACACTTTCATCTCATTTCATTGCAGGCATGTTACTAGTACTTTGTTCAGTATACTGTAACTGTTCTGAAGTTCTGAACTTTCTTTCACAGAATACCCATTATGCTGGTTGGAAATAAAAAAGACCTGCATATGGAACGGTATGTGGACTCCAGCACGTGTGAAATGCAAGAGAGCAGCCAGCATTCCTCTGGCTGCAATGCACTCCCGTTATTCCTGGATTTTTGTAACTAAAATCAAATTGTAGGTTTAAATAAGATGCTGGCAAAAGTATTGTCCAAAATGTGAACCAGGAGCTGTGAACTTTTGGTGTAATGCTTGGCTTTTGCTATGAGGTTCCAGGGAGAGTCATTTAACACTTGGTTTTTTTCAGAACAAGTAACAGAAGTGTATTGTTCACAACTGTAAAATACCAGATGATACTACTGATCATGAAAACAAAGCAAAACTTTGGGACAACTGCTCTTCTGGGTCACATAGTAGTTGTACCTGGCTCAGTAGTGTATGTGACAGCAGCCAAAAGCAAAAGCTCTGGATCAGACTTCACAAAACATTCCTATTAAACGCATTTATATGCTTCAGTACTCTGAGGTCTTTCCTGATGTATCAAATTCCAATTTTTTTGCAAGTTCTGAAGAAACTTTTTTCCTTTGGTTAGGGTGATCAGTTATGAAGAAGGGAAAGCTTTGGCAGAATCCTGGAATGCAGCTTTCTTGGAATCTTCTGCTAAAGAAAATCAGGTAACTCATTTAAGATTCACTTTATTCAAATAGCAATGTAATGGAATGACTCATAGCTTCAGTTATTAAAGGAATCTGAAATATTTGCATGCACTCTAGATGTTCTTTTTTGTCTAGATGGTTGGAAATAAAATGGCTGTCTCCATTCAGGTTTATGTGTACAAGTTTTTTCCATGCAGCTGTAGATGGAAGGAAGAAGCAAAGAATTGAAACGTTAAGGTTCACTGAACACAGCAGAACACTTAATGCCAAAGTAAAACTCGAATCCACGCGGTGGGTGGAACAGGGTCTGTGATCTGCTGCAGTTACCTTCAGCAGG